GGCACTCGCCTCCTCCACTCTTCAATTAACACCCCCCTTTTTCATTGGGCCACATCACTTTGCTTTTAAAGTGGTGAACGTCTTTTCCTATCGGTTGCCATTCATTGCTTAAAAGAAAGGTGACGTGGCCCAATGAAAATAGAGATTAGTTAGAGAGTGTCATAGACAAGTGCCCCTAGCATTGCTCATGGTTAAATGAGTTAACTACTCTAATCCAAGAATTATCTTGATTAAAAAAATATTTCTTGATGCTATTTGGTTTAGTTTTTTTTTTTTTACAAAGGTAATGGTTAAGAAATTAGTATGAATTAATTGTTAGCAACTGATTATCAGATCGGGTGAACATTCTACCCCCTCAAATGAGACACGCGGCTATCAAACCGTTTTTTAGTGGAGTTCACGACAATGGTGGAGTTCGAAATTCCGATCACTTCACCCAAACACTTAAGGTTCGGGATCGAACCATTGAATTTAAAGGTCCGATTCGATGCTATTTGGTTTAGTTGTTATATAGAAGTTAGTAGTAGATGAATTTTATTGAATGGTTGTTAGCTGATAATCAATAGCTGTTATTGCTTGTTATTATTGTTTAGTTGTATAGCTATAAACTATTACTATTAATGGATTAAATTACAAATAAATGCATAATTATATCTTCTTATCTATATCTAAGTAGCACCATATCCTCAAATTATAAACATAAGCCACTTAATTAGAATTTAGAAGGGATTATAAGGTATAGAAAGAAATGTTACAATGAACTTTTTTTTTTTTTTTTTCATTTCACTAAGGATTTATTTGATATAATAGTTAAAATTTAACATATAGTGAGCAATGAATAACGAATAATGGATAGTAGTAGTGGGTAATGGGTAACAAATAATGATATCGGGTAGTAAGTAGCGGGTAACAGCTGACGATTAACAGATAGCGGATAGTGGATAATAAAAAGTGAGTAATAGATAGTAAATAGTAGATTCGATTATTATAACTGTTTAATTATATAATAGTTAGCAATTGTTATTTAAAATTAAATAACTAGTAAGGATATACTTAAAAACAATTAAGCATATTTTTTTCTTTTTTTCTCTTTTATTATTAAAATTATTAATTTTATAAAAATGATAAAAATAAATAAATAAATAAATTATAATAGTGTAATCATACATTGATTTTTATTTTTAATAAAGAAAAAATTATATTAGTTTTAACTAAAGTATAAAAAAATTTTAATCTTTTCATCTAATTAACAAATTTTGTTTGTTAAGCTAATATACTTTTAATGATAAATTAGTGTAAAAATAAAAATATAATAACTACTTAATATTATTAAAAACAAAAAAAAAGTTGGAATTAATTAGATAAGTAGTAATTAAAAATATGGTTAAAAATTTAAAAATGAAAAAGAATAAATTTTTCAATAAAATTAAAAAATTTCAATTCACTAACAATTTAATACAAAAAGTTACATTAGGCAACTTTTTCAATTCATTGTCGATTTGGACCCTAATTACTATTCATAATCCCAAATCACTAAATAAAAGGTTTTATTAAACACTTAATTTATAGCAATTTTGAAATAAATAAATTTGCCAAACACCTATTCTTGGCATTTTAAGCAAACTTGTTAACCGTTACCTTCAAACCATTGTACCAAACGAGCCCCAAGTGAGACAATGTAGTGGCTTTTTTTTTTTTTTTTTTTTT